ACACCCGATTGACAAAAATTTGTCATTCCTTGGTGGGAATTAATCCACTAAAAGTCTCTTCCCCCCCGGCGGGCGTGGTCCCAAAAAAATTTGACTAAACCAGCTGGTATATGGCGAGGGATGGTAGCCCGAATTTATTAATAAAAATATAGCCAAAACGCCCTGCCAACATTACAAAATGAAAACAAATTTTCTGAATAAAACTCCAAAGCCATTACTGTTGGAAGACTTTTTCTTTTCTTTACTTTTTTTGCGCAATTTGATGACTTTTTCTTCTCGGGCTTCTTCAACTTCAGGATGCAACACATTATTTCTCGAAAGATGCAAACAAGGTTGCATTAGATTAAATGTAGACATTTAAAAATATTTGATATCATTTCGAAATATTAGGAAAGAAATACAAATACACAATCACTGATAACATACTTCAAACTGATACTGGCATATCACTATTTATTTATTTTTTCCATATCACTATTTATTTTTACCCATATTTCTTGGCAAAGAGGGAAAGAGCATTTTTCGGGTGCATGGTTAGTCCCGGCATAACTTCAGTATCTACGTCTTCTGCTTTCATCCCAAAAGGCAATTTCCAATCAAAATGATACAGAAGATTTGCCAGTGCAAGTTCCACTGTTGCGAGTCCTAGAGAAAATCCAGGGCAGCCCCTACGTCCAGCTCCAAATGGGATCATTTCAAAATCTTGTCCACGAAAATCAATATTACTATTCAAAAATCTTTCTGGCATAAAATCATCTGGACTTTTCCAACATTCAGGATCTCTTCCAATAGTCCATGCATTAATGAAAACTAATGTTTTGCACTTAATTTCATAGCCTTCGATTGTGCATTCTTGTGTAGTTTCTCTTGGCCCTAGAAGTGGAGCTGGAGGGTATAATCTTAGAGTTTCTTTTATCACTGCTTTTAGATAAGGAAGCTCCTGAATATCTTCTTCATCTACTCTTCCTTTTTCTCCGACCAATTTTCTCACTTCTGCTTGTACTTTCTTTAGTGCAGAAGGGCTCTTCATCAGGGCTGTCATTGCCCAAATAATTGCTGCTGCAGCTGTATCCGTCCCAGCAATAAATATATCCTGTGATAAAAGGGTAAACGATTATTATTAAGGACCATATCAACTATTTTAACCCAAAAAAAAACTTTCAGTTTACTTGATTTATGTTCAGAAAACCATGTACCAATATGCTTGTTAAAGAAGATGAAAAAAGAAAGAAAGAAGAGGAAATTCAACAATTGATTATCTTGAAAATAGGGATATACTACCATGAGAATTGCCTTTATGTGATCCCAAGATAGGCCTATAATTGATGATTGTTCTTCTTTTAGCTGAATTAAGAGATCGAGCAAATCATCCTTCATGCTATTTGGTCTGTTTGGATTGAGATGCTCCTGTATCAACTCTTGGTAGAATAAATCCAGCTCATTGAAATTCTTCTCAAGACGCTCAATAATCCCAGAAAATTTATCTACCCAACTGAATGAAGGAAAATAATCTGAGATGAAGAAACCCCCAATCATGGCCTGAGATTCTTGTAAAAGTTTATCGAATCGCTTTCTCTCATGCCCTTCCTCATCGTACCTCTTTCCAAAGGCAACTCTACATATTATAGTGCTCGTCAAGGACATTATTATGGTCCTTAAATCAACTAGTTGTGATGAAGATGAGAGATTTAGTATCTTTTGAATCATGCTCGAAATTTCATCTTCACGAATGGGACGAAAAGATTGTACTCTTTTAAGGCTAAAGAGTTGGAGGACACAAATCTTCCTCATTTCCCTCCAGTAGTCACTGTAAGGTGAGAATGCAATATCCCTTCGATTGTATGACAGCTTTTGCCGCCCAACAGAAGCTGGCCGGCCGGAGAACACAAGATCATGGGTTGTCAGGGCCTGTTTTGCCATCCTTGCTGAAGAAATAACTAGTACTGGTACTGAACCAAGCTGTAATGACATGAGGGGGCCATATTTCTTGGAGAGTTGGCTTAGGAATTCATGAGCCTTTTCACTGTCGAATTGGTGCAAGTTCCCAATGAATGGGAGCCCTGGAGGACCTGGTGGTTGACGGATATTTCTGAGTTGCTTGTGCTTTTTACCTATGGATATGAGGATTGAAAAAAGGAGCAATAAGAGAAAAAGCATTGTCATCTTTAATCGAAGGATAGCAGTGAAGTGAGATAGGTTCAAGGGCTCAGTATTTAAAGGCCATGAAAGGTAATTAGAATGTCACTAGGAGCCTGTTTTGGAAACCAACCTGGATTCGGGTTTTCCCAATTGAATTCTACCCAATTCTGTCCAGTTGATATAATTATTACCATATTTGGTGTAAACTTATATAATTTTAGTGTAATCATGAAATTCATCAACTCGTACCCAAAATTGTAGGAGTTTATATCATATATTAATTAGATTGAACTGGACTAGAAGTCAATTGTAGAGCCCCATTTCCAACCAACCTAAATCTATCATAACTTTATACGTACATATACTTATATATATATATACATAGATACATATATATATATATGTAAAATATATGGAGATTCTAAACCTTGAAATTATATATGTAAAATATATGAAAAACCCCATTTCCACATATTTTGTCCATTTAGGAAACAAAAGTTTATAGTTTTAGTCTAATATGTAATACATTTTGGTAGGACCACACTATAAAATGTAAATGGAATTCCTGGTCACTAAAGCACTCAGCTCAAATTAGCAAGGAATCAAACTAAGGAAGAAAACTTCTCATGAATCGTGAGACTTGAAAGTGATTTGGCTCCAGAAGAACGAGCACGTTTGTGATGCAGTAGGATTCTAAATGAGACTATTACTGTTGGAAATGTAACGGCAACCCCATCACTCGCAACCCAGTGACTTAAGTCTTTAAACTTATCAAAAAATTACTTGACACCATATTCAACTCCCGTTTATGGGTGGTTTACTGGTTTGTGTTCCATCCCTCGATGTTTGTAGGACTATATCTCAAATTCACCATTGAATAAAAACGGGTAAGCCTGATTTTTCTAGAGCTCACATAGTCCATAATCATTTACTCCTTGCTCATGATGCTAAATGAATCAATAATGAATCTCATGGAGCATCGCTGCTGTAGAATGAGTCCAAAACATGCAGCCAAAAAAAACTGGTTCCAGAAATGTTGGACAATGTCGAAGGATAAATAATGAGTTGACTTTTGTAGAGGTTGGAGCATGATTACTGTGTTTTGATTGATTGCAAGTATGAAAAAATCAAAATGGTTATCAGAAGATGAACAATTTTTTAGAGACAAAACTATCTGCACAGATTGAATTACTGAGATTTGGGAGCATAATCCTATTTAATCTCCAGTGATTACAAGTGCATCATTGTGTGTTTATAGGAAAAAACACACAAATGATTCCTTATGTTTTTCCTCCATTTGATTATAAGTCTTTCACATTTAAGATGAATCATTTTGTTCTCTCGGTAATTCTTAAGGAGTTCCAACTTGGTAAAGTCCACTTTTTGTCTTAAAAAAAACTAATAGATTACGTGAATAAATATGGGGAAGAAAATTAAGCAAATTTTGTTTTCTCACATTTTTCAAGTGTCACATTTTGATAGAAGTCCATTTTTTGTCATAAAAATACACGAATTAATGCGCTACACAAAACCCTAATTCTTTTCCACAAAACCCACAAACAAATAAGGATAACAAAGAAAAAAAAAGAGTAAATAAGGATAACAAAAAAAGAGTTGAGAACAAAGAAGAGAAAATAAGAGAATGAGTGGATGTCGATGAGAGAAATAATTGAATAGATTGTGCTGCCATTCTTTTTTCGCCATTAAATGCGCGGCAGGATTCAGGACCAAAAGCTTTTGGGCCGACACTTTAATTTGCACGGGAAAAACACGGCTATATAAATCTAGGTTTATTCTCATCCAACCATAAAGGGCACCATTCAACATGACTGGACAAGCAAATTAATCAAGCTTTTAGAGCACCAATAATATGACAATATGGGAGGGAAATGGGAAACCAAGTAGAATTGTGATGTGTTGTATTGAAGCTCAGCTGGTACAAATCAAAATCTTCCACCAGTTCTTGTGACCCATTCACACAAAGTCACTGTTCAACTTTGGGGGACTAACTTGTCAAGTGACTCAGTGTCACTTTCATGATAGTTCCAAATTCTTATAGAGTCACGTTTATCATTTTGATTTCATGGAACATGGTTTCCTTACTCCGATCACAAATTTCCTGTGTCGAATGGTTATTTGTGGAGCAACGTATTAGCCATATCACATCTATATCTATATCTATATTTATGTTAAACAGCAATTAGTCATATCACATCTATATCTATATCTATATTTATGTTAAACAGAAAGTTTGTTTTCAAGATCCAGTTTAACTAGTAAAGACATTAGTTACATTATTGTGAGATTATTGGTTCGACTTTCAAGCTGCCACTTTTCCCCTTTACTTCTTATGAGGTTTTGAGTCTTCATTGAACCTAAATCAGAAAAGGAAAAGAAGAAAAGGAACAAATAGCAAGTTTATTTTGGACTTTTAGTGATTTAGATTCTTTTCAGCAATACCCTGAACATAATATATTAAGGCTGTTTTATGACTCAAAATTTGAACATTATTATAACACTGTTGATGGTATTGGTGTAATATGGAATTTGATATATATATATATACATAAGTAGCTATTTTAATCATAGTGTCTCTCACTCCAACATGGCATGTCTAATTGAAAAAAATTAATGAGTTATGGGGTTTGAGTTTTACCCATACTAATCCTATTTGGATTATATTATGTGTTTAAAAATTATCTGTAATTTTTTTTTTTTTAGAGGTATTTCATGCTTTCAGAAACCATTAACCAGAATCAGGTACGATCTCAACCATGAAATCACATGTCACGCCAAAAAATAACGAGACAACATATTTATTCAAATTTTCTTGACGATAGGAAAGAAAAGGAAGACATGAAACATAGTCCAGGAGTATGGACCATCCCCTAACAAAGAAAAAGCAGCAGACTAAAAAACAGTTGAATCCTTCCACTTGTACATGTTCCAACAGCCTTCCACACCTATCAGCAAGACGACTTAATCAGCACTAGCCCTCTTCTTGGTGGTGTATGGGTACTACTCCTTGCCATTATCTATTCTGGTGGTCTGACCTCCAACGTCAATAAAAGCAGAAGTGGCTGCAAGGGCAGCTCCTGCAGATAGTGCAGTTGCAATGCTCTTTCCTTTGTAACCCACAACAGTAGCACCAGCTGCAAACCCACCAACAGCTCCGTTGATAAAGTCTCTTTTCATCCTATAATTCTGCAACAACTGTTCTACACCAATATAAACCCCACCAATGGCAGCAAAAGTAATCCCATGGTTTCCCATCATCTTTAGAGTCCGGATCAGCCCAGGAAGTGCAACTCTTCTCTCAACACGAGGCACGTCCTGCCAGGTCGCAACGATGGTTCCCCATATAGTACCAGCGACTAGACCTGAAGTAGCACCCTTAATTGTTTTCATCAACGGAGTATCTTCATCTTCTAAGTACCTTAATTCTGCCGGATCCATAACTTTGGCCAAACAGACTTGGCACTGATCTGCAGTGGCTATTTCAGAGAGAGGCTGTAATTTTAATATAACTTTAGAAAACAATCTTAATAATATCTGTTTTCTACCAAATTATTATATACAATAATAGTAAAACCTTTTTAAATCACAATTATTAAAATCTTACATTCCCATGAATTACTTTCTTTCACCACCATAATCTTATCTTAATGATATATGCTTTCTACCAAATTATTACATAGAAGTACAATAAAACCTTTTTAAATCACAATTATTGAAATCTTACATATCTCATAAATTACTTCCTTTCACCACTATATCATTGATTAGTATTCAAATTATTCATCATATTTTCTCTTAATTTTGAATTACCTTAGTGTAAAAAATAATTAACTATTACACTAATAGATTTATCAATATTATTGAAAATTAAATATTTATTGATGAAGAAAAATGGATTGCTAGATCTTTTTCTACTTAATTAAATATGAATATATAGTTCTAAGTTTATGGTCATTATAAAAATTTAAATTATCTAAAAGAATATTTATAAAAAAAAAAGAATATCTACCAAGTTTTTGATATGGAGCACATTGTTTGATGTATACTATCATATTATAGAAAAAGTATGTAAACAAATGTTTAAAAATTAGTAAATAATTGAATATTTAAAATACAGTAATTTTTTAAAATTAATATGAATGAACATGTCGAAATGTTGTTAATTTTTATATTTAAATGATTTATATTTGTATAAATTCACAATAAATAAAAAGAAAAGACCGTGCTAAGACACATGCAAAATTCTAGTTATTTTAGGAAGAGGGTTCGGAATATAATATAATTAGATTTGGAGTGAAGTTACATTGATTCAATTTCTAAACAAGAGTCACAAAAGATAAATTCCACAAATAGAATGATTTTGAATGAATTTATGACAATATTACTTTTTAAGCACGGTATAGTGTAGGGCGTGTGATTCTAAACAGCTCTGGTGTTGTAACTCTTGAAATAAATGAGCTAATCAAAACCACAAATGTGGTCTGAACATATTGTGGAAACCTTAGAGGTTAATACTTGATTTCAAAAGTGTCGATTTCGAAAAGTAGGCTTCAACTACCAATAACATACTTTGACAAGCACATACGCATCATGATTGCGAAACCAAATATCGTATGCAATCTTCAATAGAAGAAAACTGGGATAACAAAACCATATTCTTATAGAGTCGCGTTTATCATTTTGATTTCATGGAACATGGTTTCCCTTATTCCGATCACAAATTTCCTGTGTCGAATGGTTATTTGTGGAGCAACGTATTAGCCATATCACATCTATATCCATATCTATATTTATGTTGAACAGCAATTAGTCATATCACATCTATATCTATATCTTTAACATAAAGTTTGTTTTCAAGATCGAGTTTAATTGGTAAAGACATTATATATATATATATATATATATATATATATATAATAAAGTCGTATGCTCATTCTTATCCTTTCATGTTTTCTCTTTCCTACGTGGCTTAACGAAACGGCAAGTAGTTTCCTACGTGGCTTGCTCCTTTTTTGTTTAGATATATATCAATTCTTATTTTCTATAAGAATTCTTAATATTATATGATTCTTATTTCCTACCCAAAAATGGAACTGGAAAGTAATGCGATATAAATAAAAGAGACATAAATATCTCTATTAGATATATCTCCAAATTCATGCCAATAATTTGTGTACTGCATAGGGAACCGAAGTAAATAAGAATTGTTATCACTAGAAGAAGTAGAAAAGTAACTAATTTCAAAAGGAACCATTAATAACAGAAGTCAATATCTGATGTTGGAAATAAGATTCTTAATAAATTTTATTATTAAGTGCGTTATCAAGACATAGTGCATAGCATGAAATTTTTGGAAAAGAAAAAGTTAATTGAATCCAATTAACTATATTTTTGGACATGTACTGTCAAATATAAATTCCTATTTGAGCACAGGTTTGTAAATTCGTATAAACCCGTTCGTTGTTAATCAAAACATGCAGGTTATACTCATTGTTAGGTTATAAGATTCACAATACATCTCTGCTCAGATGGTGGGGAGTATTTAGTGTGTGAGCCCACACCATATGAGTCCATGCGCTTAAAGGACTCGATATAGTTGAGGTGGTCTTTCAAAGTAGGTAAAATCTGTCTTGAGAGCGCACTTTTATTTCCTATAAGAATTCTTGATATTATAGGATTCTTATTTCTTACCCAAAGTTACGTACTTTATAATAAGTGAATATTTAATGTATATTTTGTACAAGTTTGGCATAAAGTTTTGGTATGTTTTGAGAAGATTAAAGCCATATTTGAACTCTTTTGGTGATAATTGCTTAAATATTGTTTAAGTGTTCAAAACTTGATAAATGAGTGAATTAATGCGTTAATTTTGTGAAATTATGAAGGATATTGATGTATGAAATTCATGCTCGAGATGAAAGAAATGTGAGGATCATCCAAAGGATAAAGTACACAAGAAATTAGGAGCAAACGTGAAGAGAAAAGAGAAGAAGTAAAAAACTGAAAATTCAATAGCACGGATCCGAGCTCGGATCCGTGTGAGTAAAGGGCGATCCGAGCTCTTGTCTGTACTTCTAGAGCAGTGTATCCGAGAACAAACGATCCGAGCTTGGATCTATCAGAAAAAGGCCTCGGATCAGCTTGATCCGAGCTCGGATTGAATTTCACCCCTCGAATCTAAGGCTCAGATCTACCTCTCTCTTCAGCAAGTAGCACAGCCGTTTTTTCTCACTTTTCACACAACTTTTCAGCTATTTGGAGTGAGTAAATTCGGTGGCACATGCTTCTGCAACAAAAGGGAAGACAAAATGAGTTAAAGAAAGTCAAAACAATATTTCTTTTGACTTTCTTTACAAAATTTGAGTTGTTGGAATCATGAAGAAGAAAAAAGGTGTCTTTCTACCACCTTTTATGCAGAGACAAAGGAGAGAAGCAGAGGACCTCACGTAGCTAGTTTTCCTTCTTGTAACTAGTTTTCTCTCTAACTAGGAGTTCTTTAAGAAGCATTTGGAGTTTTCACTTGTATTCATCTTGCACAAGAACATAGCAGAAATTGGAGGGTTTCACCATCAATTGGTTAAGTTTTCTTTTATCTTTCTTGTACTTGTACTTTATGATATTTTGTATTAATAAACTTGTAAGTTTGATTGTTAAATCATTCATGAGTAGCTAATTTTCTTTATCTAGGGAGTAGATGAAACTTATGGCTAAATAATATGAATTGAATATGATTTACACTTATTATATCTTGTATTAACTTGTCTATTTGTGCAAATAGTAATTATTTGTTATTGCTTGATCATCAATAGCATGTTATAGTTGTTATTGTTTAATGAGAATTGGTAGTAACAATGGAAACACATGAGTAGAGCTTAAGTTGTATGTTCATGAAAATAGGGATATACTTAAGTGGATTACTTCGCATTTCCTGAAGAAAAACAGAGTAGTAGTATTTCACCATGAAAATAGGGAAAACTGAACTACTCTAGACCATTTCATTATGAGAATGAGGTTTGGTAAATTTGGAAATGAATCTTTGGTTAAACAAGAATAATAACAAGAGGTAAATCCATTTATTTATGTTGTTTATGCCATAAGTGGAATCTACATCCCTAGATTCAATTTTTAGTGAAATTTCTCCATTTGCATTTAATATTGATTAAACCAGAATTGTAGGCAATAGCATTATAATTTTCTTGTTTAGATTTATTGTAAGTCTAAATAATATAGAAAAATAAGGGCCTAATACTTGTTTAATTTGCTCCTCATGGGATCGACCCTATACATACCCTACATTATGATTTCGGCCTGTATACTTGCAGTCAACGGGTATAAAAATCGAATTTAAACTTGCATTGATATAAAAATTCCGTCAAGTTTTTGACACCGTTGCCGGGGATTGTAAATTCTGCACTAGATGAGGAACAACTAGGAAAACTCTTACGTGTTTTGAGGAAGCATTTAAGAGCTATAGGGATGGACGATTTCTGATATCAAGGGAATTAGTCCAATTATTTGTATGCACCGGATTTTGTTAGAAGAAAATTCTAAGCCGGTCGTTGAAACTCAATGAACATTAAATCCAAACATGAAAGAAGTGGTAAGAGTAGAGATTCTTAAATGGCTGGATGCAGGTATAATTTTTCTAATTTCTGATAGTGTTTGGATTTCTCCTATACATGTAGTGCCAAAGAAAGGGGAGATAACCATAGTACATGGTAAAAATGATGAAATGATTCCCTCTAGAGTTGTGGTTGGGTGGCGAGTCTGTATTGATTATAGAAAACTGAATGCAGCTACTAGAAATGATCACTTTCCTCTACCTTTTCTTGATCAAATGGTAGAAAGATTGGCCGGATATGAATTTTATTGTTTCTCGGATAGTTTTTTAGGATACAATCAAATAGTAATTGCACCAAAAATTCAAGAAAAAATCACATTCACTTGTCCTTATGGCACTTTTGCATTTCGAATGATGCTTTTTGGATTGTGCAATGCACCGGCCACTTTCCAACGATGCATGATGGCAATTTTCTCTGATTTTAATTAGAAAATTATGGAAATCTTCATGGATGATTTTTCTGTATTTGGATCTACTTATGATGATTGTCTTAACAATTTAGATCTAATTTTGTAGAGATGTGAAGAAACAAACTTTGTACTCAATTGGAAAAAATGTCATTTCATGATTTGTGAGGGTATTGTGTTAGGTCACAAAATTTCTTCAGAAGGTATTGAGATAGATCAAGCCAAGATAGAGGTTATTGAGAGAATGCCTCCACCAATCAATGTGAAAGGCATTCGCAGCTTTCTTGGACACATGGGATTTTATCGGCTGTTTATTAAGGATTTCTCCAAGATTGCTAAACCTTTATGTGAATTACTTGCAAAAGATGTTTCTTTTCACTTTAATGATGAGTGCTTACTTGCTTTAATAGGTTGAAGAAGAAACTTATTTCTGCACCTATAATAGCATCATCGGATTG